ATGTCTCTTATTCTATGTTATTTTGTTCTTAAGTTTCTTATACTGGAGTATGAAGCCATTCATTGGAATATAAGTCATTCATTAGAGGCTTCTATTTATTTGAAATATAAAAATTTTAGTTCTATAAAATATCTTCTCAAGCTGGTTTAGTTACATTTGAATTTGAAGATGTTAATTTTTTATGTATACTTAATTTGAAATGCTTCTCAGTTTCTTTTTTTATGTCTTCTTTGATCAGTGAATTTCCCAGAGGTTCACATTTTATTTTTCAAATATTTTGGAGATGATCAGTAAATATTTCACTGTTTCTAATTTCAATCCACGGTGGAAATAAATCAGCATGTTTAATATGAATTTTACTCATTTTAAATGTATCAACTAATTTCATGACTATCTTATCACTTGTAATGACAAAGGAATCTGCTAATTTCTATTCCTGAACATGATGTTACCACTGCTATTCTACCCAACAAAGTAATACATATCAAAAGGAAAAAGCAAACAAATCAATTTAGAAAATAAATAGCAATTCTAATGAACTAACACTATTGTCTTTAGATATTATTTGTAACTACACTCCTAAAGAACTTTCTCAGCATTACTGATAGCTACATTCCTCTGTATAAGAATTTGGTCATGGCTGGGTGTTGGTGGTGCACACCTTTAATCCCAGCACCTGGGAGGCTGAGGCAGGTGGATCTCTGTGAGCTCGAGGCCAGCCTGGTCTACAGAGCAAGTTCCAGGACAGGCTCCAAAACAATACAGAGAAACCTTGTCTCGAAAAACCAAAACAAACAAAATATTTTGGTCATGTTTTATTTTGTGATAAAGATATTTGTTTATATTTCTGTAGTCAAATAAATATATGTATTTATATGTTTTTGTAATCAAGTATTCTTTCAAGTACTTGGCTGCAGCCAACACCAAACTGTTCAGAGTAATTAAAATATCAAACTTCTCCTTAATGTGAAACCTTTAGGCTAAAGTCTTCTCAGGGAAGCCATATGACAATGCAATTTATCGAGAAAATAAAGAAAAGCATTACGTAGAAATATTGTGAGTAAAAAGGTCATCACATTGAGATAATTCTGGAAATCCTACATTGCTATCAAGGGACATTTAGGTAGTCTCCAATTGGGATCTTAAAAGATTTCAGACCTCAGATGATTGTGCTCATCACTGATCTAGGTAAGGCTGTTTCTGAGAAGTTAGCCTTTCTATATATTGGGTTACTTTCCTGTATAGTTATTGTCTGGATTTGCAAGATGCTTTATCCTTCACCTATAGCTTATTAAAGCTGTCAGTATGTTGACTTAATCAACTTTAACAGAACTACTATAGCAGAACAACCACAGGAAAACAAAAGTTTGGGAGATGGCAGCTTGACACCTAGAAAAATTAAAAGGAATAAATGTTGCTACAAGGTTAAAATTTCAGCATTTATCACTGAGATGGCAAGAGCAAAAGGACATGAACACTAAAACACTCCATACAAAACTGCTTTTACCAACTCTTTCTCTTCTACGTATAACAAGAAGTTATTTCCACATTGGCAAAACAGTATTACTGATACATTCATATCTATAGACTACATTACAAGAAGCAACTCAGGACAATGTTCAGTATTTCTATTTTATAAAAAACTAGCTAATTTCTCTCAATACAGGAGTCGCATAAATGATTTCTTGCCACATGTGTTTTCCAAATTTCCTATCCAAACCAGGTACATTGAGCTTACACCTGCATCTCTGTTCTACCAGGCATACTTTTGTCATTCCCCTCATTCATATTGTCATCATCTAGACAACAGATAATAAAGTAAATCATTGCCACACATTCAAGATGGCTTCAAGTTTTCTTTGATTTATGTTCATATCAACTATATATTTAGAGAGTACTGATGAAATGCTAGTGAAATGTGAATTTGGGGACTTGAAATTTCCTTGCTTGCTGGAAATATTTGACTTCTGTGTTTGTTCCAGATCTTAGAAACCACAGTTTTAGCAACACCTCAGAAACCCACTGACAGCCTGATATTGTTGCTTCTCTTAGTCATGTACATTCACACACCTGTCACTTATATGGAATACCCATAAAGACTAAATTATTAATGTAAAACAAAGAAGTAAGTTTCATTATTTATGTGGCCTTTAAATTACATGAAAATAATAGGCATATGTTATGTTCTATACACATTTCTATAGTTTTGCACAAGCATTATTCTAGATAAAAATGTCAGAGGCTCTCAACCTATTGGTCACAGCCCCTTTGGGGATCACATATTGGATGTACTGCATATCAGTTATTTACATTAAAATTTATAACTATCAAAGTTCCAGTTATGGAGTAGCAACAAAACAATTTTATGGTTTGGTGATCACCACAGTATGAGGGATTGTATTAAATGGTTGCAGCATTAAAATGAAAAGTTTGAGAACCACTGCCTTGTGTCCTGTGTATTATAATATCTCAATCCTGGACCCTAAAACATGTCTTTATTTTCTTATTTGTTCATTAGCACACATACATGGTCAGGATTGTGGATAAATAAAACTCTCATAGGTGGTTAAGTACTCAATGAAGAGGGAGTAGAAAGAATGTAAGAACCTGAAGATAGAAATAAGGGCTATGAAATATGTTCTTCTGGATGTGATGAGCCCATTACAACTATTAACTCATAGCATCTGTGGTTACCTGCATTAGACCAGCACAAATCTTGAATTATCACAACCAGCTGTGGATGAAGGACAGACTCATGGAGACCTATCTCTTTGTGCTAAACTATTTTAGGAAGTCATTATTTTCTGGTTTGTACTCACTGGTGAGTCTACAATACTCCAGTGAACAGTTCCAAACCCATGGTCACACTGATGACCCTTGCTAAACTAAGTGGCTTATAAAACAGAAAGATATAAACATAGGAAAAAGACTCATGGTCAAGTGGATGGATTGCAAGGGTATGAAGGGAAATGAGGGGAGTAAAAGTAATCAGAATGTTTTTTATACATGCATAAAATTGTCAATACACAGATCCAATTAATAAAAAACTCTTATATACCAAATATATACTCAAATTCTTAGAGATAAACATTTTTAAAAACTCCTATCAAATATATTAAGTTTGGAAAATATGTTAGAGCATTTTTTTATAAATTTACCTAAATTCAAACTATGAAAACTTTCCCAATTAATTTCTTAATGTGATTTTATTATTATAGTTCATTTTGACTTTTCCCTATGTTTGACAACAATAAAATTAAGTTATAAATTTGTGACTTAAGAATGTCTTGTTATAAACAATATAAGAACTAAGAAACCTGTGGATGCAATGACTTGGAACCTTTAAATTTTAGTATTTGTATTTTGGTTTGTATTTAGAGGTATTGGGATGATTGAAAACTAAGATTTTTATGGTATGAATGTCAATGATAAATTCTATTATCATGTTATAGATTTTACTTATATTAACTAAATTTATCTTAATAAATGTTATTTAAGTTATCTTAAATAAAAATATATTAGTTTACTGTGCTTTCTAACAATGTATGTATCAAACACAGTGGCACACAGGCAGACATGGTGTTGGAGAGATAGCTGGGAGTTCTACTTCTGGATCAGCAGATATCAGGAAAAAAGTGCCACACTAGGCCTAGCTTGAGGATCTGAGACGCCAAAGCCTACCCTTCAGTGACACACTTCTTCTAACAAGGCCACACCTACTCCAATAAGGCCACTTCTTTTTAATAGTGCCACTCTCTTATGCCAAGCATTCAAACACATGAGTTATGGGTATCATTCCTATTCAAACCATCATATTACCAAAGTATCATATAAGTCTTTCCTTTTCATATGAATATTTGTCCAGTTCTGAGGACATCAGTCATTAAGCACCAAGTAAAATACCATCTACTTGCCAACATTCCCAAGAAATATCACAACCAACATGCACTAGTTTACTTTCTGTTAAAATATAAAACACTTAATACAAAATTACATGTAAATTTCTACAGGTCAATAAACTTACACCATCCAAAACAGCAATTAACTAATAGAGATAAGATGTTTTTAAGATTCTAGAATCAATTCAAATGTCTCGTATCTATGACTTATCTGCCATAGAAAAGCATTAAAATTGCATACATGTTTCCATATTGGGAAAAGAACAGTGACTTCATGTCAGCCTTCACTGATTAAACTAGAATCATAAATACTATGATATGAACACAGACTCCTTATGAGCAATGGGTCTCTATTCTGAAACTCTAGTAAATAATCAAATAAGTACTGTGTGGTATTGTTTTGCTACAACTTGATCTTAACTAATTTTTATCCAATATTAATTGCTAAAATCAATTTCCTTAATTTTACACCATTCACATAATTTAGAAAGTAGTTAAAATGAAAAAGAAATACACAGAAACAACAAATACCCAATAATGACTCTTTGGATAAAGTTTCAAAAACCATCACAACAGTAACCTCCAGCAAGACTGCAAAAAGATGCACAGGCATCAGATAGTTACATATAGAACCATACATATAATCTCTAAAGTTTATGGTTACTCACCTGTATGATCCGAACTGAATGTCCCAGTCTTAGATCACTAAGACAATAAAAAAGAAAAGAAATTGCCTTGAAAATGCTCAACACTGATAGTAGCTGATGTAAAAAGTATGTTTTGTTATATACACCTAACAGGAAGGCAATATTCTTTTTGAAATGCTAGTATGGCTGTCAGTATATGCCCCAGTTGCTTGCCCTGCTTTTGCTTTTCTATTTACATTTTTCTTATCTGCTACATGTTTCCTCAATGAAAATGTCAGCAGCTCTATTCTCAGTGAGAAAACATGATGAAAATCTTGGGTCACTAGAAAAAATTACTATGTATATTACCTTAAAAGCTAGGAGACAAAACCCACACATACTTGTTAGAGGACTTCACCAAGGGCTCATTAGGCAAAGGCAGGCTCTGAGAATCTTATTTGAGGGACTCATTTCTGGACCTTCGATTGCCATTTATATGAGTTATTCACCATCTTCAGAAAGTTGATTTCATCATTGATTCAGACACTTCATCTTTTTAACAAATGAGTATTTCAACAGCCAGTCAAAATCTGGGCAGGTTTGCATACTCTGTTTTGAAAACAGAAGAATATGATTGTGCAGTAGACAATTTGCTTACTCTATGAACAAGTTACCTGTTGACATTGGGAAAGGTGGCTAGGAGGAAGGAACATTTCTGGACTGTTTGAGATTGGTTTTTGTATGTCATACATCAAATCATCAATACATGATGCCAATGACCAGAAAGACATCCAGCACCTGGACCCTGAATTGCATGAGGTGCAGCACACAGACATGTCTGGGTAAAGCATTAGCAAGGACAAGGAAAGCACAAATGACTGCTCCACTCACCCTATTACTTACTTATTTCACTGTTGGCACTAGCTAGCTGGTATTTGAAGTACAAGAAGGTTTTTTAAATGACTCTGCATCTCATTCTGCCAATTTTATTCTGTCTCATGACATTGAGATCCCAAAGAGAATGCCTGACACGATGAATTCTCCTACCAGTGTGTGTGCTTCCTGAAGGCTTGGAGAGTGAACACTTAAGTTACAGGTGAAGGACTCAGTCAAGGATACCCAGAGCCACAGTCTAGCAACAGAACTTTCTACTTATTGGTAGTTCAATTGGCTGGAGAAGTGATATTGATATCCCCATGTGCTCTAGGTCTGCCAACTTGGAGCCTCCCGGGTTTGTAGCTTAGAAGCCTATTATCACATTAAGCATATAAAGAGCTGATCCTCTCCATTGTCAGTGCAATGGGAAGCATATGTTAAAGAGTAGGCATGAAAGTTAATGGTAAATTCCTACATCCCTTTAGCATGGCCACCTCAAGGTCATCCTGACTACAGCTATGCATAATCCCCTTTTGTACCTGATCAGTTGTTTATGTCCAAGTCTCTTGGAATTTACCAAGCAAGATAAATTGGATCTCCAATTCCTGATCTAAGGTCTAAGTGATAGATGACATGCAGAAACCAACCTTACTATGGATGGTATGATTCTAATGTCCTTAGAACTATACAGAGATTCTAAAATGTGGAGAAGTAACTTTGGCCTTTCTAAATGCAAGTCATAGGCTTTATCTTTCCAGTTTCCTGGAAGGTGTGATGCTGTGAGGAGGGCACTGAAAGACACAAGAGGAGACAAGGACCTAAGCAATATTGGTTAGTCAGTCATTTGAGGCTTACACAAGAGTAGAAATTGTAGAGGGATTGTAGAGTTCACTAGACTGCTGTGGCTAAGGGAACCTTTCAGTTGCAAGCAAATCTACAGTGGAAAGAAAAAAAAAAAAACCAACTACAGCTCAGGAAGCTTTGTGGCTACTTCCCACATGCATTCATGGGCAAATCTGCAGCTCACAGAGAGCACAGGGAAGTGCTGGGTTTTTCCAGGCTGGACTGCAGAAATGTGTGGCAAGGATAGATGGTGTGACACACACAAGAGGTAGTCTGCCTGCAGACCTTCTCACCCTCTCTTTGTTCAAAAAGACCCAATTCCTAGCTTCAGCCCTAGTGCTGCAACTGACTGATGGGGGTTGTCCTTCTGTATATATGTTTCTATTATTGGTTAATAAATAAAACACCATTTGGCTAGTGGCCAGGCAGGAAAGATAGGCAGGGCTACTGGATGGGGAGGTCTTATTTCCATATCTGGAGCTAAAAATCTGCTATCCTCTCTGGAAAGGTCTCCCTTTCCTCTCTGACACCATTCCCAATGAATCATAAATATCTTCTCCTCCAAACTTCCTTCCTCCAACCCATCCCAGTTACTCAGACTCCAACATCCAGCTGAATAGACCAGGAAGACAGGCAACACACTCATTACACTGTGAAAATCCAGAGAGGAAGCACAAACCATTCAAGAAAGACAAATCCAGATATCATCACCTAGACCTTTAATATTTCCAAACCCAGATACTTTAATGTCAGCATTAAAAAAATCAATGACAGCCATTAGAATCCATATATCCTACCACATCAGGTCCTGCATATTTCAACATAGCTGAATCTCAAGAAAAAGATCTTAAAACCAACAGTATGAAGATGACAGAGGTACTTACAGTAGAAATGAACAAATCCCTTAACGAAACCCAGGAAAACAGAAACAAACAATCAGAGAAAATAAATAAATCCTGTAAAGAAAGCCAAGAAAACATAAATAGTTGAAGGAAATGAATAAAACTATTCAAGACCTGAACAAGAACATAGAAGTAATAAATAAAATACAAACTGAAGGAATTGCAGAAATGAAAACTTTAGGAATTTGAATAGGACCTACAGAGGTAAGTTTCAACAAGAGAATACAAGAGATGGAATAGAGAATCTCATGTGTTGAAAATATGATTGAAGAAATAGTTACATCAGTCAAAATATTAAATCTAAAAAATTCATGACACAAACATCCAGGAAATCTGGGACACTATGAAGAGATAAAAACCTAGGAATAATAGCTATAGAGGGAGGAAAAGAAACCCAGCTCAAAGCCCCACAAAACGTTTTTAACAATATCATAGAAGAAAAATTTCCTAACATTAAGTAAGACATGCCTCCAAAGATACAAGAAGCATACAGAATAACAGATTGTATGAGAAAAGAAAGTTCCCTTGCAACATAATAATCAAAACACTAAATATACAGAACATAGAAAGAATATTAGAAGCTGCAAGGGAAAAAGACCAAGTGACATATGAAGGCAGATGGATTAGAATTACCCCTGACTGCTCAAAGGAGACTTTAAAAGACAGAAGGGCCTGGATAGCTATGTGTCAGACTCTAAGGTATCACAGATGCCAGCAAATGTTGCTATACCTGCAACTTTCAATCACCATTGATGAAGAACAGATATTCCAGTATAAAGCCAAATTTATATAATATCTATATATCTATCTACCATGTAAATAAACTGAAAGAAAAAACAAGCATGTGATCAGTTCACTAGATGCTGAAAGAACCTTTGACAAAATCAACACCCCTTCATGATAAAAGTTTTGGAGAGATCAGGGATGCAAGAAACACACATAAATATAATAAAGACAATTTACAGCAAGCCTATAGCCAACATCAAATCAAATGGAGAGAAACTCAAAAAATTGTACTAAAATCAAGAACAAGACAAGGCTATCTACTCTCATCGTTTCTATTCAATATTGTACTTATAGTACTAGCTAGACTGAAAAGATAACTGAAGGAGATCAAGGAGATACAGATTGGAAAGAAAGAAATCAAAGTATCATTATTTCATAGATGATATAATAGTATATATAAGTGACCTTAAAAATTCTACCAGGGAACTCCTACAGCTCAGAAACACTTTCAACAAATTGTCTGCATTCAAGATTAATTAAAAAAAACTATATATTGTCCCAGCTACACCTTTGTTGCTTATATTAAGGGAGTCTAGTTAGGTCTAATGCAGGTTCTCCATTTGTCAGACTAGAGTCAGTGATCCTTCACTAGCTCAAGTCAGCTGTTTCTGTGGGTTTCTCCATCATGATCTTAAGTCCTTTGTTCATATTATCACTCCTCCTTCACTTTGATTGTATTTCAGGAGCTTGGCCTAATGGTTAGTTGTGGATTTCTGCATCTGCTTCCATTCTGGGGTTGTGGATTATAGGCTGGGTATCTTTTGCTTCATGTCTGGAATCCACTTATGTGTGAGTACATACTATATTTGTCTTTTTGGTTTTGTGTTACCTCACTCAGGGCTTTTTTTTCTAGTTCTGTCCATTCACCTATGAATTTTAGGATGTCATTGTTTCTTTCAACTGAGTAGTACTCTATTGTGTAAATATACCACATTTTCTTTATCCATTCTTTAGTTGAGGGACATCTAGGTATTTCCAAGATCTGGCTATTATGAATAATGTTGCTATGAATATAGTTGACATATAAGTTAGTCATCAATCTTATTACCAGGGGAAGGCATTTAACATAGCCTCTCCTCTGTTGCTTAGATTGTTAGCTGGTGTCATCTTTGTAGATAGATCTCTAGGTATTTCCCTAGTGCCTGATTTCTCTGTAAGCCAAAAATGTCTCCCTCTATTATGGTATATCCATTCTTGTTATCATCTATTATTCCCCTTATGTTGATATCATTATATTAGATCATTAACAATTTTGAAATAGATGAATCCTATTTGGGTGGTGAAGGGACCAGCGCCATGTTTTGGCAGACATGAAAGGCTAGCATGTGCTTGCCTGACCTTGCTGGTCATGTCATGTTCACTAGGAGATAAGATGCCCTCCTCCTGGCAAGGAACCAGTCAGAAGTTAGCTGGTGGGGCTATACTTTACAGCTCTGGGTGTGTTTTATGTACAAGTGCACAACAGTGCAGAGCACTGTTGTGCAGAGCACAGCAACCACCCTGGGAGGGCCTATGGGCCTTAACAACCAGTTGACCAATCAACACAGGGTAGGTCTTCCAAGCCTGGAGGCATACCAATCCTGAGCCTGTATGTAACCCTTATGCTGCCCTATAAGATTCCTGTCTCATGGATTCTGAGAGTCTTTCCCCAGCCATCCGTCGTGGTGGAAGGATGAAAAGCCTGAGCTAATGGGGTTAGCTCATTAAACAACTGCAATAAAAGACTCATTGCTTCTGCATCGAAATGGGCCTCTTGGTGATTTGGGGTTCAGAATTTGGGCACAACAGTGGTATATCAATTTTTCTTTTGTAATTATTTGAAACTTGGTCTAAATCTGTATTAAAGAAAGAATAAATTTAATTTCAAAATAAATACAGAAAAATTAAAAAAAAAGAAGATTGTTTAGCAAATGTCCTTTTGGTGTGAATGAATGTGCCTTGTTTGGGTATATGCCCAGAAGTGGCATTGCAGGGTCTTGAGGTAGGTTGATTCTTAATTTTCTGAGAAATTGCTGTACTGTTTTTCACAGCAGTTAGTAGACTTCCTAGGGGAGGAGGACTTACCCTCTCAAAGGAACAGATGGGAGGTTGAGTGGGGGAGAGTGGGGAGAGTGGGAGGAAGGGAGAGAGAACTGGGATTGGAATATAAAAAGTAAATTAATAAAAAATAGGAGGCCCATCTGTCTGAGCCCTGCAGAATAAAAACAATCAGTAGCTCTCCTATGTACAAATGTCAAATGGACTGAAGAAAACTACACCTTTCACCATAGCACCAAATAATATAAAATATCTTGTTGGTAACTCTTAAAAGGGTTATTCTCAATGTCACATGGAAAAACAAACAAATAAAAAACAAAAAAGAATATCCCTGACTGCAAGTTGCACTATAAAGCTATAGTAACAAAATTACATAGTATTGGCATAAAAAGCAGACATGTGTTAATCAATGGAATCAAGCTGAAAACCCAGACGCAAGTCCACATACCTATGGACACCCTGTTTTTTATTTTTGAAAAGGCCAGAAACACAAATTAGAAAAAGAAAGCATCTTCAACAAATGGTGCTTGTCAAACTGAATGTAGGCTTATAGAAGAATGCAAACAGATCCACATTTACCACTCTGCACAAAACTCAAGCCCAAATGGATCAATGACCTCAATATAAAACTGGATACACTAAACCTGATAGAACAGAAAGTGGGAATTAGCCTTGAAAGCATTGGTACAGGATAGGATTTTCTGAACCAAACACTGATAGCACAGGCACTAAGACCAACAATCAATTCTTGGGACTTCATGAAACTGAGCAGCAAAAGACACCATCATTCTGACATAGTAGTGACCTGCACAATAGGAAAAGTTTGTTATTGACCCAGAACTGATAGAGGGATAATATCCAAAATATATAAAGTGCCCAGAAAGCAGATAACAAAAACTCAAATAATCCAATTAAAATGGGAAACAGTTCTAAACAGAGAATTTTCAATAAAGGACTCTCAAATGGCTAAGAAACACTAAACTTTCAACATCCTTACCCATAAGGGAAATGCACATCGGATACCTATCTTACACCTGTCAGAATGGCTAATATCAACAACACAAATGATAACTTATGCTGGTGAGGATGAGAGTAAAGGATTACACTTCTCCATCACTGGTGGGCATGCAAATTTGTACAGCCACTTTGGAAATAAATATGGTTTCTCAAAAAATTGGGAACTGATCTAACTCTTGGACATATATTCCAAAGACACTCCATACTACCATAAGGACACTTGCTTAACTATGTTCATTGCAGCATTATTCATATTACCCCAAACCTGGGAACAACCTAAATGTCCCTGAATTAAAGAAGAGATAGATAGATAAAATGTGATAATTTACGCAAGAAAGTTATTAGTCAACTATTACAAAACAGACATCATCAGGCTAATGGATGGAACTAGGAAAAAAAATCATCCTGAGTGAGGTAACCAACCCAGACACAGAAAGACAAAAATGGTATATATTCACTTATAAATGGGTATTAGCCATTAAGTAATTAATAAACAAGGTATAATCCATAGACCCAGAAAGGTTAGGTAAAGAGGAGCAGTCTAGTGAGAGTGCATGGATCTCCTTGGGAAGGGGAAATAGAATAGATTTTATGGATAGACTCGGGGTAAGTGGGGATAGGGAGTGGGAAGCATAGGGAGATAGGTGGTGGTGGGAAGATGGGATGGAGGGAGAGAGTGTGGGGAGAGATAGCTGAGCATTGGGGCATTGGTTGAGGGCCTTTGGGGGGCAGTGTGCGAATCTAGTACAGTGGAACTTCCTAGAATCATTGAGTGGGCCTAATGAGGACTCCTAGTAATGGTGAATAAGGAGTTTAGGTTGTAGTCAGACAAGGCTCCCAGTGGTGGGACTGGGTTGCATTTATTTGAGTTCTTGGCTGAGGGGGGTCCAGTGGAGATTTCCAAACAACCCTAGTTGATGTTAGGGCAGAAGGATGCTTTATGCAAACTGATGGTCAGGGCCCAATTGTTGAGGACAAAATCCACATAGCTCAATGAATGTGGAAAGGTTGATCCAGTGCCTGAATGGATCCTACACTCTATGGTCTATTCCCTTGGTGTGGGAAAGATTTCTGCCGAATATTGAAAGAGAAACATAGACACAACACAGTCACAAAACCTCTGACCTACAATCTGTCCTTGCTTCAAGATGTTCTGGGGCAAATATGGTGCATAACTTGTAGAAGTGGGGAGACCATGCTCAACACCTATTAGATGACCAGGAATAGGAGAATGAATAGTCCAGAGACATAGGGTCAAACCAAACATGACTTGTATAAAAAATCAATGAAATAATTTCTAGCAATATTCTGCTATACTCTTAGATCAGAGCCATGTCCAGTTGTCATCAGAGAGGCTTCCTCCAGTAGCATATGGGAGAAGATTCAGAGACCCACAGCCTGATGTTATGTAGACAGAGTCTAAATTGGAAGTCTCCATTGGGTCCCTTTTCTCAGAGCTCAGGGAATCCTGTGAAAGATGGTGCAGAAAGACTGTAGGAGTCAGAGGGAATGAGGGTTTCAGGTGAAGACTGCTGACTGAATCAAATATGCAGGTTGCATACAGAACAGAGACTGAAGTTCCAAGCATGGGGTAGCATGTTTCTGCACAAGGTCCTCTGCTTATATATTGTGGCTGTTAGTTTAGGGTTTTTGTAAAACTCCTAACTGACCAAATGGGTGTGTCACTGATGCTTTTGCCTGTATTTGGGATGCTTTCCCTCATGTTGGGTTGCCCTGTCAAGCTTCTGTGTAGGGCTTTTTCCTTGTCTTATTCTATTTTGTTTGGCTGTTTGGATATTGTCTCTTGGATGCTCATGCTTTTCTGAGGGACCCAAGGCAAATTGGAGATAGGGTATAAATGGTAGAGTGGAGGGATGGAAAACTGTGGGTAGTATTGATTGTATGAGAGAAGAATCCATTTCCAATAAAGACTAATAACTAATACATAAATAATTAACATTTAATGCTTCATGTAAAAAAGAAAGAGAAAGGAAAAGACAAGAAAGGACACAAGGACATGGGATGGTTATTTGAAGCATACACAACAGTAGAAAGAAAGACAAGATGGTTGTTGAAGGAGCACCCAGTGCTTGCTAACAAATGTGTACCAGAACAGTACAGGATTCACTGAATGCTAAACAGAGCCTAGGAATCTCAGGATTTCAACAAGGGCCCCAAGAAGGCAACATTGAATGGAAGAACCATGTTCTCCCCTTTCCCATTGTTGGGGCCCCAGTGTGATAATATTGACCATGAATTTTATATTATCACCTCTCCCCATGATGTTTGTATGACATCATTTACATAGGCCTGGACAGAGCAAATTACACCCACTTTTTATCTTCAAACAGCATTGCTTACTTACTAGGGCCGCAAACACTGCCTTGGAGGTAGGCCTTGACATGTTTAAGGAAAAAGGACAACTGGGTAAAAAACTCTTTCAAGGGATCAAAGAAAACCAGCTATCTCATCTTGGTAGTTCCATCATGTGGCTACAAAGAAAGAGCATGGTGTCAAGGCACTAGTTTGACTTTACTTTTATGAAAAGGAAAGGTCATAGAAATTTGACCATGGCAAAAAGGTGTAATTCAGTGGAACATAACACTTCTGCCATCTGAATAATAAATAGCACAAAACAAGCATACAGTAATTGATGGTTAGATTATTAGACTTGGCAAAGTAAATGCAAAGGGCCAGTCAAATCACTGTTTTCACTGTTAGCATTTTCCTGCTGACATTTGTAAGTACCCTACTCAGGGACTTGAAACCCCATATCACCTTGTGAACCCAGAACGGGCTTCAAAAGGACAGAGACTTAGCATCAGTGTTCAATGGTACAGCCTGATCTTACCAACCTCTGAGTACCTCAGACAAATCCCTTAAGAAGGAACCTTTTTCTCAAAGTTCTCACTTGCAAGTCAATACTCTGAGGTAGATGCTAGCTGTAAGTCTATGTGGAAATTCCTCATTGGAGTAGACACAGAACCGGGTTCCAGCATAGTTAAATATACCTGAAGCTGAAATGTATTCCTGTTATCTTTATTGTGAAGGTCTTCAAGTGATGCTGGGACTAATTGAGGGAACATATTGAGTCCACTGACTTGGGGTCTGGGAAGAGAATGTCTACCCCGAAAACCCTCCTATTTGGACTTCAGTTGCCTCATGGATTATCTGGAATTCTGTTGCCTCATGGATTATAGAGTGATCAAAAAGTCATAGGAGAAGGACATTCAATCAAAAATATCCAGCCCTAGAACTTTCCAAGTATCCTCATGTCCAATTAGCCAGAGAAGTGACCTGAAGATCACCATGAATCTGGGGCCTGCAAAGTAATCACTCCTGAAGGTCATCCTGACAAGGTTGTAGATTGTAAAGCTTCTGTTGCAATGAGACTAGAAGTTCTGGCCAAGTCAATCCCAAGGAGGATGGGAGACAAAAGGTAAAAAAACAGGCATGGAAGGAAATTTTAAGTTCCTCTATCACCATGGTGTGAACAATAACAGGACTTAGCATTGTGACTCCACCTATGGGTACTATGATGTTGTCCTTGATCAGTGGTTCATGCTCAAATCCTCTAGAAGGTTCCAAGAAAGGGAAAATTAGATAGCCATTATGGACACATAGGTCTAAGTTGTAGAAGGTTCCAAGAAACAATCAAGAACATAAATACTGTGCTTCTAAAGTCATTAGATTCATAGACTTCCAGAAACTCTAAATGTTGAAGTCACAGGACCATCACAGATCCCGAATTTGGGCTGATCTTTCCACTTACCTGAAAGATGTGAGGTTGTGGTCTCCAGAACAGCATCTTAGATCACTGAAAGACAGCAGAGAAGACAGGAACATGGGCAGTGTATTGGCCACTAGAGACTTGAATAAGAGTAAAGTGGCACAAAATGCCCTCTTGAGAGAGCACTCAGTGCTCTCCTACAGATGTGCACCTGGACAGTATAGGATTTCCCAGATGAGGAAACAAGGATTGGGAATAACAGCCTGTAAACTGGGTCTCAGGAAAGCAACAAGGAGACACCATGCCCTGTTTCTACTGTCCTGTTGCTTGGGCCTCAGCACAGAAAGGCCCGACACACCATATGTGATTGGTAGCTTTTCCAGCTGCTCAAGATAAGTTCAGTGGATCAATAGAGCCACACTTGTTCTCACTGCTTTGGCTGTTAGCATTAGACTGCTGACAACTATTAAGTTGTCAGTATTAAGACAATACTCAGGCCTTGTGAACTCTTTGCATATTGTGATCCCAACATTGGCCCTGATGATGTCAAAGACAGGTCATCGGCTATTCATGGTCCAGCACTAGTGCATTAGTTTCTGAGCACCAGGGACAAAAATAGTTAAGAAGGATCCATTCTCTCAAGGTTGTTATTTGTACCTCCATAGCCTGTGTTGGATGCCTACTCCACATTCCTGGGGACATTCCTCATCAGATTAGTCAAGGAATCTTGACTAATAATAGCTTGTTACAGCTATGTAGGATAACATGGAGCTGAAATATAATCCCACTGCTGTCTGCAGAGAAGGTATTGAAATGATACAGAGTTCATGGCTCTGGGGCTAGATAGACAGTGCCTTCCCTGATATACCCTACTGAATTGCCTTGTGCTGCCTGATGGTTGTGAGATAAATAAATACCATTAAGTCCCAGGGAAAGGGATTAGAATAGGAAAAAACCTTGGTGCCATTGTCTAATATTCAAACATTAAAGGTATCCATATGAATAACTGGGGATCTGATGGAGTCTAGAGACAACAAATAGCCATTACAGAAAGCCATATTGGGAAGGTTGTAGCTTTTAAACTGATGTCCAAAATCAAATTTGTAGATCTTGCCCTGCCAATCCCAATCAGGATGGGAGGCAGAAGGTAAAAGCTATGCAAGAAAGGAAAGATCAATTTCTACTATTGCTGTGCTGTGAACCAGAGAAGGTCTGAGCATCCTGACACCACCCCCTGGGTCCTTGTATGCAGGCACTGCTCAGTTCTTATGTAAAAGTCCTATGGAATTACACAAGGACTTTTGCAAAATTTTGCAATACTGCAATGGCAATATGAATTTGCCATTTTGGACACATAGACCTAATGGTTAGGGGATTGCAATAAGAAACACATAGCATGGATGCTGTGTGATGAAGTCATTAAACCCATAGACTGACAGAGATTTCAGTAGGTAAAATGCCAGGCCTTCTAGACCCAGTCCCTTGGATGGATTTTTTATATGATTAAAAGGATTGAGGTTTTCGGATGCAAATGAGCATTAAAGATATTTGAAAGACCACAGAGAAGATAGGATATAAACAATGTGTTGTCCATAAGAAAAGTAGATATGTCTAGAGTCTACAAAGAATGACTTCCAAGTGAGTATCTGTGTTCTCTTACAAAAGGGAACCTAGAACTGAAAGGATTATGCAGATAGAGAGGTTTCAGATTAAGGCATTATGAATTAGAAGAAAGGAAAATTCAGACTAGGAAACAATTTCTTCAAGGTTCTACACACTGGGCCTAGATGAAATATAGAATGTGAATTTGATGTAACCATAGAAGAGTGAGAGAAAGAACCAACACATCGGGAGGGAGTCTGGCTACTGCTGGAGGAGGACAGGAGCAGTGGAGTGATTCGCAAGACAATATCAGACACCCAGAGGACATGAGTGACCAAGGTGCAGGACAACAGTACCCATAGGAGTTGAAAACTGAGCTTTCAATTATTTTGTTCAGCTTTTTCAAGGGATGTTTGATTTAAATCATTAATCCACACATGATGTAGTACTCTATACACAGATATTCAGCACTGACACTAATGGAGAGCATGGGTGTTGGTGAGGTGACAAAAACACCAAGAAATACCCAAGCCAGGGAATGAAAACACACTGCAATGGGACCCTGAAATCAACAGGGCAGCACCATGAGGACAAAAGTTGACTATGCATGGGTACACGATTGATAGTCCTAGCAGCACCCAGGGCCTGATAAATAGTAAGAGCAGGGCAAATTAGAGGGGCCTCTGTTCTTCATACAAACTCTGAGAAGCCAGCAACCTGGCTGAGGGCCACTGCTGGGAGCCAGTAGATGTACCACTGCCTCTCAGGATTTAAAGTCAGCAAGAGAAATGGAAAAATCCCAGCAAGAGGTTAACACACTGTCTTCGCCATGGCCGTGTTTGCAAGCAGAGTGGGGGAAAGAACCAGCTCCAGGAGACAGGGAGTCTGCCAACTGCTGTAGGAGGGGAGGAGCAATGGAGTGGACCCAAGCCTGTGTCTGACACGCGGAGGACTTGGGGGACCCAAGGTGCCGGACCTCAGTCCCGATGAGAGAGGCGAACTGAGATTTCACTCATTTTGTTCAGCTTTTCCAAGGAATGTTTGACTTGAATCATCATCGATCCACCAATGCTGCAGTGCCCTTGCACCCAGATATTCAGCACAGACACTCATGGACAGCGCGGGTGTTGGTGGGATGCCAGAAGAAATATCAAGTGCCCCAGGCCAGGAATGCTAACACACTGCAATGGGCCCCTGCAATCAACAGGGCAGCACCTTGAGCACCTAAGTCTGTTACATGTGCACACAAGCCCGGAAACACGAACGGTCAGTCCTAGCGGCACCACCAAGACCCGAGAATCCTGAGCATATGGGGCAATTCTTGGGAGGCGTACCTTCATCTTCCATCTTCGGGCCTTCTCAGGCATGTCAGCAACACCAGGCAACTTCACTGGAGGCTTAGTCAGGAGCAACCAGCCCTGTGCGAAGGATGCTGGGCCATCCTCTGTGCATTCAGGCCATGCAGGACCAAGAGCTGGAAACTGAACACATAAAAGCACATGCCACCGTTCCAGTGGGAACTGTCGAATTGGAGCTGGGAGGGCTTATCTTTGCTAGTCTCCATGGGATGATCAGATCACTTCTGCTGTCTCACCACTCCTGCTCTGCCCAAAACCTCCAGCATTGCTTGTCAGAGGTTGGCCGGGTTCGGGCTTGTCAGAGGTAGGCCGGGTTCGCTCCAGGGCCCAAGAGCTCCTGCTTGGCCTGTAAGAGGATCTTTGCCCCACCCTGCAGTCAACCAACAAGTTTCTGGCAACACAACACATCCAGATACCTCGACAGCAGCGAGCACACTCTTCAAGAAACATCCTAAAGGCCCCCTAGGAAAACCTCAGCCCGGAAACCCTGTCCCCTGGGGTCACTGGACAGTGCAAACTCAATTTGCTCTCTCCATCTCAAAGCTAGCTAGCATCAGCTGTAGCCTTGTTCTCCATGCCTCTTTCTCCTCATTGTCGGCCTTCCCCTGGGCCTCGTCCTCCTCCTCCTTCAAACTCTATCTCAAAACCAGGCAGGCCTCTATATTACTGTGGCAATGCTCCTGAAATCTACAACACTCTGTCCTACCAAAGACCTGAGGTGCTTCAGGTCAGACCACGACAAAGTTTCCTCTTAGGCCTTCTTCCCAAGTGACAGAAGACCTGGCAGGGCTGCCAGACATTGTTTAACAATCTCCTTCTCTATGTGTTTGTCTCCATTTCACCACATCTCTGTCTCTGTCTCTGTCTCTGTCTCTGTCTCTGTCTCTGTCTCTGTCTCTGTCTCTGTCTCTGTCTCTGTCTCTGTCTCTGTCTCTGTCTCTGTCTCTGTCTCTGTCTCTGTCTCTGTCTCTGTCTCTGTCTCTGTCTCTGTCTCTGTCTCTGTCTCTGTCTCTGTCTCTGTCCCTGTCTATGTGTGTTTCTCTTTCCCATACCTCCTTCTGTTTCTGTGCCTTTTTTCCAAGGCATGCTGTCCGTCTCGGACCATC